AACTCAACATGGGATTTGTTAGGGATACAGATCCAAACCATATCAGCATGTAAATGAAAAAATTTTAATACTTTTCGAACAATCTGGATAACAGGAAATGAAATGTATTTGAATGTCTCTTCTAAGTGCTGAAGGTATTTTCAAATCCAAGTCTAAATATGAGGCTGGCAACAGGACATTTGTTTCCCAGAGCTGGTTTTAGATTCTTGGTTCTGCAACTGAACGGTTATGAAACTTGGAGAAACAAAGAGGGTATGCCTTTCATCGCTCTGGGCCGTGATTTCTACCATGTGAAACAACAGCATGGTAAAATCCTCTCTCTGAAGCCTGTTTTTGTTCTAACAGTCCCCAGTTTGATTAGTGCTTTAGCTCTCTGCCTTTGTTTTCCTATTTATAAAAAAGAATTTTATTCCTTTGACCTTCCAGGATCAATTAGTCAATGGATCCATTAGTGAAGAACTTTCAACCTTGAAGTGCTAAGTAGAGATGTTATTGCTTGTAGAGCAAGCTGATCTTAGCTGCATATGACCTAAAACTGCTGCAACTTCTAAAATAGTTGCTGGGTCTTTAAGAGAACAAGATACTTATTGAATCCAAAAGGCCACTCTGTCTCAGCACTCTGGCTTGTGGGGTTGAGGAGAGGCCGGTGTTTGGGAAGGAGGTGTTTGTTTGGGAAGGAGGTGTTTGGGAAGGAGGTATTGGGAAGGAGGTGTTTGGGAAGGAGGTGTTTGTTTGGGAAGGAGGTGTTTGTTTGGGAAGGAGGTGTTTGGGAAGGAGGTGTTTGTTTGGGAAGGAGGTGTTTGTTTGGGAAGGAGGTGTTTGTTTGGGAAGGAGGTGTCTGGGTGTTTGGGAAGGAGGTGTTTGTTTGGGAAGGAGGTGTTTGTTTGGGAAGGAGGTGTCTGGGAAGGAAGTATTGGGAAGGAGGTGTTTGGGAAGGTGTTGGGAAGGGGGTGTTTGGGAAGATGTTGGGAAGGGGGTGTTTGAGAAGGTGTTGGGAAGGAGGTGTTTGGGAAGAAGGTGTTGGAAAGGAGGTGTCTGGGAAGGAGGTGTTTGGGAAGGAGGTGTTGGGAAGGAGGTGTTTGGGAAGGAGGTGTTGGGAAGGAGGTGTCTGGGAAGGAGGTGTTTGGGAAGGAGGTGTTGGGAAGGAGGTGTTTGGGAAGGTGTTGGGAAGGGGGTGTTTGGGAAGGTGTTGAGAAGGAGGTGTCTGGGAAGGAGGTGTTGGGAAGGGGGTGTTTGGGAAGGTGTTGGGAAGGGGGTGTTTGGGAAGGTGTTGGGAAGGAGGTGTTTGGGAAGGTGTTGGGAAGGAGGTGTTTGGGAAGCAGGTGTTCGGAAGGAGGTGTTGGAAAGGAGGTGTCTGGGAAGGAGGTGTTGGGAAGAAGGTGTTTGGGAAGGTGTTGGGAAGGAGGTGTCTGGGAAGGAGGTGTCTGGGAAGGAGGTGTCTGGGAAGGAGGTGTCTGGGAAGGAGGTGTTGGGAAGAAGGTGTTTGGGAAGGTGTTGGGAAGGAGGTGTCTGGGAAGGAGGTGTCTGGGAAGGAGGTGTCTGGGAGGTGTTGGGAAGGAGGTGTTTGGGAAGGAGGTGTCTGGGAAGGAGGTGTCTGGGAAGGAGGTGTTGGGAAGGAGGTGTCTGGGAAGGAGGTGTCTGGGAAGGAGGTGTTGGGAAGGGAAGGAGGTGTTGAGGAGGTGTTGGGAAGGAGGTGTCTGGGAAGGAGGTGTTGGGAAGGAGGTGTTGGGAAGGAGGTGTCTGGGAAGGAGGTGTTGGGAAGGAGGTGTCTGGGAAGGAGGTGTTGGGAAGGAGGTGTCTGGGAAGGAGGTGTCTGGGAAGGAGGTGTTGGGAAGGAGGTGTTTGGGAAGCCTGATCGGGTATCACATCTCCCTTGCGAATCTTGCCTTCTTGCAGTAAGAATTTGCAACTGTGTGTCCTTTAACAAAGAAGGAATTGTGTGGACCACATCCTCACAGAACATGGCATGTATTACGTGAGGGACTGACCCAATCTGTGTCTGTGGTGTTTGGGACAATAGCTGAGATAATAAGGACTTCCATTTCCCCCAGGTCCTCCAATCATGTCATGTGACCCTCTTAACATCTCTGATGCAATAACCAGACAGGGAATAGTCATCCCCGTTGTTAAGATGCAGATGCAGAAATTCAGAGGGGTGTGCTGACTGTCTCCTATCACACGGCAGTAGCGGGTGGCAGAGCTGGACAGTCCCGGCTCCATCCTGGTTCTACCGCCATGGGTCTGGGGTGCGTTACTCCCCAGCTCCTTTCTGCTGGCTCTTTTTAATGGCCGGACTCCTCTTGGGAGCCCTGTCCAGTCGAGGCTTACCCAGCTGAGAAGGTGCAGCACTCTGGCGTTTTGAGGGACACGTACAGCACGCAGCATGAAATGTCTCTGAATTGGGGATCCTGCCGATGGTAAGCTTTAACTTCTAAAACACAGGAAAGAAGAAAGTTCAATGATTGAAGATTATCTTTCAGATTATTGCTTCCCAATCTGTCCTCATTAATACCCTTGGGAGCTGGTTTTGAAGAAAGTCCTGCAGCGAACTGTAATATCTGGGCCAGAAGAAGACAGGGATGACTTACTTGGCTACTTGGGTGGAAGGTGGATTTTTATTTTCTGGCATCCATGGGGCTGAGCTTTTAAGGAAGGATCCAGGTAGCATTGATGGTGCTCTCAGGGGTCCAATTGCACCAATAATTAAAAGGCCTCTTGAAACAAGTGAATCAAAATGAAACCACCAGACAGGACTCACCCAGACAAGATTGGGAGGAAATTGAAACTTGATCAGTTTCTCCTGCAACCTATCATGTCCTTCCCCTGCACACACCTTCTCCCCTTCCTTTGAAAATCTCAGTTCTCTCCCCTCTCAATCCCTGCCCCATTCCCACCCCAACCTCCAATTCCCTCATCCGTAGCATAACAGGAAGGAGAGTAAATGGGATTGACTCAAGCACTTTAAAACATCAAGGGCCAATGGCTGTTCTTCCTTTGCTTCCACGTCTCCCTTTTCCAATATTCGTTTTCCTTCCAGGGACCATGTGTTCGAATGTTAAAAGAGCAATGGATACCCGTCAATACCAAGAAAGAAGTCAGGAATGGTGGTGGTGGGAAAGTAAAGGAATTTTCTGATCTTCCAGATAATCATGAAGATGGATACTGCATATTTCTCTGTAGCATGTAGGAGCTGTTATCAATTAGAAAGGGAAGGCAGAACAAGCACAAGAGAAATGCAGTCGCCCTTTTCCTATGCAATGACTACACAGTCTGGAAAGGCAGTCAGGATGAACTGTAGTCAGCAACACCCAGGTACTGTTCCTGGATCTGCTCACAGGCAAAGACCCTTTTCCTGGCTTCTGAATTAATGCCTGGATCTTTGGGTCAGAGTAGTGTTTGGTAACTTTCAGAAGAGTTCAGAAGCTTATATTGGCCCCAGGGTATGTGGATCCTTTTTTTTTCTTTTTTTGAAACAGTCTCGCACTGTCTGGGCTGGAGTGCAGTGGTGCAATCTCGGCTCACTGCAACCTCTGCCTCCTGGGTTCAAGCGATTCTCCTGCTTCAGCCTCCCAAGTAGCTGGGATAACAGGCACCCACCACCACGCCTGGCTGATTTTTTGTAGTTTTAGTACAGACAGGGAGTTTCACTATATTGGCCAGGCTGGTCTTAAATTCCTGACCTCATGATCCGCCCACCTCAGCCTCCCAAAGTGCTGGGGTTACAGGTATGAGCCACCTTGCCCAGCCCAGTGTGGATCTTTGGCAGAGAAAATGTGCTATAGGTACCAGATTGTTGGACTGGGGCCCTGAAATCTACTTCTTTTCTGCCATGCACTCTCCTATCCAGTCTTCAAAACCCAAGCCAAACAGCACTTTCTTTGAGACACCATGCTTGCTTCCTTCATACAGATTTACTCCATTCTACCTCTGTGATCCTGTGGCCCTGTGTTCATATCTCAAGGCACACACTGTATTGCAAGTAGCACATAACATGCCTGCTTCTTCCACTAATCTGTGAGCTTCTTAAGCTCAGGCTGAGGCCATTTTTGTAGCTCTTGAATTTAGCACAGTATCTAGCACCCAGTAGATGCTCAATAAATAGAAAGTGAATGAATATGTACTTGCTCTGCCACTAACTAGTTATGTATCTTAGACAACTCACTCACTTATCCTCATGGGATTACTCATTTAGGGTACTGAGTAATAGGGATAGCACAATTTGTATGACCAACAGGACTATTACATAGTGCAGAAGAGATAAGACATGTTCTTAATATAGATATGCTACACAATCACAAAATCCCCAGAGCTGGAAGAAATTTGGAAATCATCTAATACAATGGTTTTCAGAAATTTGAAGCCAAAGAACTGTTTCTTAAGGAAAGCTAACAGGAAAGTCCAACATTTTGGACTAATTTTTTTTTCATAAAAGATAAAAGATAAACATGAGCTTCTCTGGTTGAAGACCCAGCATACTCTCTCCTTCCTCTCCTTTCCTTTCACCTCTATCCTAGGGATGTAAGACGTACAGTCTGAAAACCAACTTCTCACTTTAGTGAGAATAAGCTGAAGTCCAGAGAAAGCAGTGAATTTGCCTAAGGTCACAGGGCTAATTAGAAAGAAAAGTAGTCCAGGGAAGGAATTAACACATGAAGACTGCAGTGACATGCAGGACAATAGCTAGTCCATGAAAAAACAACATACCCATATATTAGGGTTGGTTTGTTGTTGTTTTTCTTTTGAGACAGGGTCTTGCTCTGTCTTCCAGGCTGGAGTGCAGTGGTGCAATCATAGCACACTGTAACCTTGAACTCCTGGGCTCAATTGATCCTCCTGCCTTAGCCTTCCAAAGTGCTGGGATTACGGGTGTCAGCCACTGTGCCCTTCACCACATATTATGTTTAATTCTTGCAATACTCTATGAGGAAATTAGGGCTGTGACGATTTCTGAGATGAGGAAACTGAGGCTTTAAAAAATGGGCTTGAGTAACATTCCATGGTCAGTTGTAGTAGAAGTAAAAGTAACTAGTAACTTAATTGATTACCTAATATGTGCCAGTCACCTTTGTAAGCACATTACACGTATAACCTCATTTAATTATCCAACAACCAGCACCATCATTAGCCATAATTTTACAGAAAAGAAAACTGAGGCACAAATTGGTTGAAGGAGCTGGTTTGGAATCCCTGCACCAGTCTGATTGCATGCAAGCTCTTTTTGCTACATCACTCCGATCTGAGGTCCTGAACCCAGGTGCTGTGTCTCTTAGCCCAGTGCCTTCTCCAAATGCTACTTGATATGAAAGAATCCTGAAAAAGTCCTGAAAGAACATTCTGTTATTTGAACTTGGTGGTGGAAGAATGAGGAGCCTTATTTATACTCAGGGTACCTCTCAGACTCCATCTAAGACCTTTTTCCTTCTGGTACTGATTTGCCCTGTTCAGGGCTGGTCAGTACAACTCACCTCCTTCTGGATGGACCGGGTGAGAAACAAGGAGACCTCGTCCAGGCTCTGGGGCTTCAGGCCATTCACCGCCAAAAGATGATCTCCGTGGCAAAATATGCATCCCAGACGTGGGGGGCCTTCCCACTGAGACACACTGCAGTGGGAATACAACATCCGACACCAGTGTGAGACTCAGCCGGCCAGGAGGGCAGGGCACACGTGGAGTCTACAGGGAGTCCTGATTCTAGGTCACGTGGCACCACCTCTGAAGTAGACTATCTCCATCTGTTTAGAATATTGTTTCCTCTGTCACTACTACAGGAGCCTAACCCTTTCTCCAAAGCCCAGCTCAAATTATACTGCCCTTACAAAGGCCCATAAAATCCTACATCCCATTCCTCTGCTATAATTCATTTCCCCTACCCCTGGACTTGTATTACATTGTGTGAGTACCTGATTTGTTACATTTTTAAATAAAATGCATTTTACATTTACTTGTTTGTGTGGCTGTCTTTTTTTTTACGAGGGTACATGACCCCAGAAGTATGATGTCACCTTTTTGTTTGTTTTGTTTTTTAATTTTTAAAACCCCATGGTTCCAAGCAAAGAAAGAGGGCTCAGCGTTTGTTGGAAGTGAGGGTGTAATGATTACACAATGAATATCTAATGAACAAATAAATGAATTAAGGAATGAAGCAGCTCAGTTATAGAGGACTCCACAGTTTCGGTCAAGTGTGTATTGAGCCTTGGATTGTGGACTATTTAAAAAAAATGGAAGGTGTGGTTCCTCCCTTCTTAGAACTTATAAGACAACTATTGTGTAGCGTTTACATTAAAGAGTTTTCTTCTCTTACGAAGATGTAATCTTCCATCAAAATAAATTACAAAGTCTTTTTAAAAATGCCATATCAAATAGACAGTGATTGCTTTAAGAAAATTCTCTGCCACACAGTCTTTTGTGTCTGTGTCCGTGACTAGGAGTTTTTTTGTTGTTGTTTTGTTTTTTACCTTGTGTCTGGAAGTCTTAGAAGCTGATATGCTTTCTTCTTTTAGGCCTCTGATTCCTGTTGACTTCAGTAATTTCACTCATTCATCAAATACTCATTGCACAGTGATCGGAAATGATGTCCTTGGGTCATCTGTATCCCCGCCCATTCTTCCTCCCTTCAAGGAGTCAGAAATGGCTGCTTCCTGAACTTTTGGGTCCTGTTATTCCCCCCTCTCACCTCCCAGCTGACTTTCCTGCACAACAAGACCCTGATTTCGGCCTCAAAGACTTTTGTAACAACAGCAAGACAACAGTCCAAGGTCCCCGACCCCCCAACCCGAGTCAGTGTTGCCAAATATACTGTTTCAAGGTGTAACTGTTCTCTTCAAAGCTTCCAGCCCCATTTATAATCCACAACAGTCAAATCTCCAACCTACCATATCCGTCCTGCGGCTTCTATGAGAGCAAGATAGTTGATGACATCAGGAGGAGAAAGGAAAATGTTCAGTTTCTCCACTTGGCTTTCATCAGGGATATTACTATGAACAAGACATTTGTAAAAGTCACATCAGACAACTGGCCATGGCTCTCAACTGTACTTTCTATTTCTGAGATGATATTGCACAGGTAAAGGTCCAAAACATTTGGAGAATAATATAAATTTAAGTTACTGAAAAATCCTCTTGGGATGTGGTAGTGGATGGTAGACTACGGGAACGGAAGAAAAATGGACTAAGTTGGTTATATAACTGTCCACATCAGGCCAGTCTGCGTATTTCTTCGCTGGAAATGATTCCGTAGAAGAAGGCACGGAAAAGAGTTAAAATTACATCAGTCGTACCAAATGCTCTTGGTATCACTTAAGGCCTAAATAACCCCCTCCTGGTCTATAACTAAGCCCCATGCAACTTGCATGCCCATAATTACACTCATGGGAAAACTGACTGACATGCTATTCAGATCAGTTTGGATCCCAAGTCTTGGGAACTGAAAGACTAGCCAAGGGGTGATTTTTAAAAGTAGCTGAAAATGCCACCCCAGCCCCGGGGACTGCTTTACTTCAGCTCTATCATCCCCTCTCCTTGGCCACAACGTCAATGACAGGGAGAAGATGGTCAAGTTTTTGGCTGACTTGGAGATTTTTAGGAATGGCTTTAAAATTTAATTCTAAGTTAAAAAACAAACAAACAAGCAAACAAACAAAACAGTGGGAGGGAGCCTGCTTTGCTCTTAGGGCCCATAAAGTTTTAGAAATTAGAGCTTTACTTGATTAATATAGACAATTGCACAACAGTTAGTGAGGCCGACCCCTTTTGGTCATTTGTGATCTGTGCTTCCACATCGGCAGGGGAAAGACACCAATCAATTCCTGAGCCTTGTTCTTGCAGGTGGAGGCCCCCATCCTGGGTCTCTGGAAGGGTCTGGGGTTCCTCTTTGCTGCTATCCACAGACTCATGGGATGTCTCTTTGAAAAAACTAGAGTATAAGAAGTTAAAACAAGCCCTATTTTAGCATGTGTTTTTACAGTGTTCCCCTGTGTGTGTCAGATTTCAGTAGCTAACAGCCATGTGAAGACTAGCAAGGTCTTGAAGTATGTCCAACTATCAGAATCACAGCCACAGATAGAATCAAATCCAACAAACTTTCCTTCTAAAAATGGATATGGAATCAAAATTACCCTTTACAGTGTTTGGAGGACAGAAGCGAGAGTGTGAGAGACATAAATGCAAAGTAGAAGATAACTTCCTCAGGAGACGGAAAAGGTCCTGAGGATGTCATCGGTGGTTTTCTGTGGGTGGAGACGTGACTCCCTCATTTTTGTGTGTTGAGATGATGGAATAATATGTGGAACCTGGTCTGTGGTAATGTTTGGCATCAATTTATCAACTATTGAAATGAACTGACAGTCATTGTTCCATAACAGCAGATGAGCAAAAATCAAATTTTTGAATGGCACTTTGACTTACTAGGATTCCATTGGCTCATAATGACACTCGATTCTTCCAGAGACCTGGTCTGGACCATCAGTTTCAATGGATTCACCAGAATCACTGGAAGCAATGACATTATCCAACTGTAGATAAAAGGAATAGATGTAAGAATCCCAGTTTACCGATAAGTCAGGTACCTTCTTATTTCTAGTGTTAACAGCTCTGGGCTCTGACATAGAGGTACAGTTTCCAGTGGATGAACGTGGTTCTCATTTGGGAAATATCAACTGACCTTACCTCCATGAGACTGAACCAGCAAAGCTTCTGGAGGACTCAAAGTCAATTTTCTTCTCCTGGATCCCTCATGTGGCTGACACAAGTGTTATTTCTATTGAAACTAAATTGCTATTTATCTTTCTGTTTCACCATTAGGCACTTAATGACATGAAAGCGTTTCCCCAATCAGTTCTACTATAGAATCATGGCACTTGGCTGGGTCAAAGACTTTGACACAATGTGTAGCTGGTCTCAGGCTACTGTGCTCACAGGCAGCCCAAGTGGCTTCAGGGACACTACAATGGTCTAGGAAAACACTGCCCTTAGGAAGCTCTCAATAGCCCCCTTAGAACAAGGAGAGTCACTTGTGGCGATGATTGCTCAGAAACCCTAAGGCCTACCTAAGTTCACCGTTAACCCATGATGGAAACCTTCCTTCCAGTCAAGCCAGTCTTCCCATTGGCCCCCTGCAAATGGTGCTCTTCTGTCGCCATATTCATGCAGTCTTCTTCATTCAGAGTGCCATCTTTCCTTCCTGCCTACTAAAATCATGTTCAGGCCTGCCTGAAGTCCCACAGCCCCCTCTGATCACCTCAGTTACTGCAGAGCTCTCCTTTCTCTCAATTTCCATTGCATAGTTTTGTACTTATTTATTTATTTTTTGTCTTTTTAGCTTAGTTTTGTCTGCTTTACTAGACTTTGCCTATCATAAAGTACCTAGCAAAGGCCAGGCCTCTAACTGATGCTCAGTAAACGTCTGATTGGTTGGCTGGACTATCATAAAAGACTGCATCCCAGGAAACACAAACATGAAAATCTTTTGGTGAAAGAAGAACTATGTGCTCAAAGGAGCTTGGGAAACACCATGTGTTGTATTTGACTTGACTATTTACAGTGCACCACTGCATACTAAATGCTCTGAGAATTCTGCTAAGAAGTTTGTTTAACTTATTTTAACTGGGTGTTTCCAGAATTTATTTGACCCCAGAATGTTTCTTTTATATAAACATATGTCACCCTCTTACGGAAAACCCTCAGTTTGGGAAATGATGCAGCATTGCCACCCTCCATTCTGTCTTCCTATCTCTCACTTCCATTCTCTTCTCTCTATAGTCCACAGCGGATACAGCTGCTGGGTTAATACTAATGGAGGATAATTCAGGTTTTGATACTTCCCAACTCAGAAGCCATCGCTTCCCCTATGCTGTCTACAGAATGAAGTCAACTTGGCATTCAAAACCCTTCATGGGCTGGCTCTTTTCTTCTGTTTATCTCCCACTATGCCTTTCACACACTCTAGGATGCAGCCTCACTGAACTATTCCCCATGCATGTATCAAATGGCACTTCATCCCGGAAGCCTTCCTTGACTCTAGTAGAGACAGAAAATCTGTTCTTTTTCTATTGCTTCCGGAGCATACTGACCACGTGTTTTGTGCAGCATGATCCTGTGGTAACTGACAAGACTATGCACTCTGAAAGCAGGACGATGTCAGGCTCATTACTTTAGCCACCATGCCCAGTACAGTACAGTGACTACTGCTCAGAAGGCATTCAGTAAGGGCCTCCAACTGATCAATAGACTGATCGATACACAGAACACAACTGATCACCCAAGCACCTTGGCTCACATTATTCTTTCTGCTAAGAATGCAGAAAGACTCCTCAAGGCAATCCCCCACATCCAAATTTTACTCATCATGTATGGTCAAATGTCATCTCATCCCTGAAATCTTCCTGATTTTTTGTTTGAAAGTCATCTCCTCCTCCCATTGCTCATGCGCCCCTAGAATTTTATAAGCATCTCTCTTCAGCATAGAACCCTTCTGTCTTGTATTACAGCTGGCTCCTAGTCAAGTGTCAGCGCCATGAGCCCGTCATCTGTATTTGATTTACCTCTGTGTTCCCACTGACCCTAGCCTAGTATTGCACGAAAAGTGCATGGCAGGGTTTCAGTAAATATTTGTGAAAGAAACAAATGATGAATGGACAAGAAAGGGTTACCTCTAAAAGAACACTTCGAGGAGTAAGATAATAATTCTCTTCCTTCACATCTTGAGTGGTTTCTGATAAATCTTGTAGATGAGCTTGCCTAAATCCTGGAGAACTTTTTTCCATTAAATGCTGAAGAAAAGAGATAAAAATGCTTTGCTTTTTCTTTGCAAGAGATAGAATTAAATCACCTGCATTCTGGAAAACCCATAATAAATTAGTTGGGTTAAAAAAGACCAGAGGGTCTTCCAAGGTTACATCTGGAAGCTCACACAACTTCAACTTGCCTCTTGAGTCTGGGTCACCACTGAGGATGAAAAAATATAAGCATAGCACTCAGGCTTTTTTTTCTCTACCATTTGGAACAGTCACTCAGAACAAGTGGTTTTCTCCTGTGGGTGGTATTCTTTTTTTTTTTTTGAGACAGAGTCTTACTCTGTCACCCAGGCTGGAATGCAATGCAGTGGCGCAATCTCGGCTCACTGCAACCTCCACCTCCTGGTTCAAGTGATTCTCCTGCCTCAGCCACCTGAGTAGCTGGGAATACAGGCACGCACCACCATGCATGGCTAATTTTTGTGTATTTTTTAGTAGAGATGGGGTTTCACCATATTGGCCAGGCTGGTGTCAAACTCCTGACCTTGTGATCCACCTGTCTCGGCCTCCCAAAGTGCTGAGATTACAGGCGTGAGCCACCATGACCGGCCCTGTGGGTGGTATTCTAAGTCACTAAGCTCTGGAGTTGCCACCCTCATCTTTTTCCTGTTATCGTCCAATACCATCTGAGAATGTAATTAATCCAGAATCAAGGCGCTGCACCTTTCCTGTTCCTGCTCCATATTTTTCTTTTGTGTTCTGTTCACACACTTCTGTTGTTTCCATGGCAATGGAATTTGGTTGTGTTGATCATGTGATAGTATGAATTATAGGTTTCCATCTAGATTCAACCACTATTGCCTCCCCTTCCCCATAGATACACAATATTCTACTAAAGTAGCTTCTTCGCGTGGCAGAAAAATTCCAAGAACAATGCCTCAGTGCAGGGGGTTTGGAAAAGACCCTGAATGTTCTCTAGGAAAAAAGTCAAGTTGTTGTTGTTGTTGTTGTTGTTGTTTTGTTGAGATGGAGTCTCCCTCTGTCGCCCAGGCTGGAGTACTGTGGCCGGATCTCAGCTCACTGCAAGCTCCGCCTCCCGCGTTTACGCCATTCTCCTGCCTCAGCCTCCCGAGTAGCTGGGACTACAGGCGCCCACCACCTCGCCCGGCAAGTTTTTTGTATTTTTTTAGTAGAGACGGGGTTTCACTGTGTTTGCCAGGATGGTCTCGATCTCCTGACCTCGTGATCCGCCCGTCTCGGCCTCCCAAAGTGCTGGGATTACAGGCTTGAGCCACTGCGCCCGGCCAAAAGGTCAAGTTTTTAAATATAGGTATGTTTAAGTTCTGTCCATGTTTTAGGCTCCAAGTCATGGAGCCAGATTATGCTGAGTTGGGGGTAAAGGAAATCCACCATCACCCAGCAAGGCAAATAGTACTATTAACTCGAGCTGGTTTAAAAATCACTGGATCTATAGTGTGAAAAGGCAAGATGACAAATAATGTTATCTCTAGGGGAAGGGAGATATCATGAGTGAACAGCAAGAGGTGCTTACAGAAAAGGGTGAAGCTTCCTAACTGCTGCATATCACTGTTTCTACTCACTAAATGAAGAACTGGGGTGAGGTGTTTGGCATGGTGAATTTGATATGCTACAAAAAGCTTTCAAAATAGTTGGAGAGCTACCAACTAGATAAAATAAGGGGCTAGGACTCATTAGATGTACTTGGTATACATGGACAGGGCAAAGTCAATGGATAAGTCTTTAAGAGACAAAACAGTATCTGCGCCAGAGGACAAAACCACTCAGCATGTTTATGACTAATATCCCAAGTTGGGAACATTGCAAATCCAAGAAAGCTGAAGGTCCAATTACAAGTCGCTTTCAAGAGGCAGGTTACATTATATTTTATGTCTTCAAATGGATTTCATTAGAAATGAGGATGAAGTGATAGACAGCTATAATGAATAAGAAGCAAGATTGATCAAGGTAAAGGGAGGAAATTAACAAGAAACTTGGCCTTTGCCTGAGGAATACAGACAGAATGGGCAGAAAACAGGTGGTGTCTGGGAAATCTTTTGGCAGAGGGATCTGTGCCCTCTGTGTGAAAGAAAGGAAGAAGTCGCCGGCCAGGTTTTGGTTTAGCAAAGGGCCTTACACTAGCATACCCAAAGCATATCAAGAGCATCCAAAATCAATGAATACACTGAGACGTATTCAGGGCAAGCCCTGAGTGAGGCTCATCTGTGGTATGGGATAAACATCAGGGCTAAGAATCATTCTTATAGTGCATCGGGCTTTGAGGAAGGTGGGCATGGTTAAATTCAATTGCTAATTGGTAAGATTTTTAAGCATTAGCTGACTCCCAGGTGTGCTGTCCTGAGAAAGAAGTGAGCCCCATTACCGTGTCCTGGAGACCATTTTTTGGTGAGCTGGAACCAACAGCCTCCGATGTGCTGGGAGGGCCAAGGAGAGGGCTGGGGTAGAAGAAGGTTCTTTTATTACCCAATGAGAGTTCCTCCTGCTCACAAAAAAGGAATCAGTCAGGGCACGGTTGATCTCCGTCTGGAATGAAACAGCAGCCTCTCTACTGTGCTCCTTGCCTCCCGTCTTTCCCCACAGTGATCTAACATTCATGCCACTGGCCTGCCAGCGTTATCTCACCAAGAAAAGAGCCGAACTTGTCTCTCTCCTGTTTCTAAACCCTTGAGGACATTTAGCATGACCCTCAGAGATGGCCAGCGTTTCCCTCCACCTGTCGTCTCAACTGTGTCTCTTTCTGACGCCCTCTGCCCTAGTTCCCTTTGCTCTAATCATTTCAGTCTACTTGAAGACATGCCTTGATTTCTCCTTCTCTTTGGCTTTTGCTGTAAGCATGGAACAACCTAGAAAACATGTCAAAAAAGATACCTAGGGGCCAAAGTTCCATCTATGAAAGTCTGCCCTGAGAAAGGACTTGGGAACATTAGCAGAGGCCCTTTTGAAATAAATTTAAAATGTAAAACTACTAAGCACGTACATGAAAGATACGTTATATTAAAAATGCAAGACACATGAAAAACATTTTTATAGAACCTGCCCTAGACTTAATCATTCAAAAGGGAGCTTGTCATGCACCTTGAATAACAACGATGGAAAATACTATGTTCTAGCTACTACTTAAAAATGCCACAGTTAACTTTTCCTCCCTCTACCACAATAATAAAAGTCTGAAGTGTCTGTATTTTAGCTCTCTCACAAAACACAGAAGAATTTTTTTCTATTGTTAATCATAAAAAGTAATAAGGATGTACATTTTCTCACTTATTTATTCCTTGTATTAACGCCAGTTGCTAAGGAGGCAAAGGAAAGCTACCATTGTTTTCTATTGAAAGAGGGTTGTATTCAGGTGCCCTGTTATTTTGTTAGTGATATGGAGTCACCTCTGTGTTCTGATGTGTTGCTTTTATATCCTGGAGAAATGATGACATGAAGGAGACCCAGTCTTTAATCTTCTCCCTGTTGATAGGAATAAACTTTCAGCTGGCATGTGGCAACAATAGTGCTTGTACTTCTTTTGAACCAGAGAAGGATTCTTTTATGAAGGTTAGAACGGCAGTGAGAGCAGGTACCAGTGAAGTAAGAATTTTTCCTAAGTAGTTTAAATGCCCTCGCCACCTCCACATTTGCACACTAGAATTAATGCTCAGCCACCTCTGCAAAGAAAGCTCAGAGAAAGGGAAGAAAAGTAGAAAATAATAGTAGTAATCACAGGGTTTGGGGCTTTCGGCTTTGACACTGATTTCCTTTATGTTCTCAAGCCAGCCCCCTAACCTGTCAGTGCCATTTTTGTGTAACTATGCAGGTGGGCCTTCCCTTAGAAAGTGTACATGTTGATGAACAATGTGCTTGAATGAATTTGTATAATCACATCTTTTCTATGGACTCACAGGACAACTTAGAAGAAAGCTTTGGTCAATCTGAAACAGATCAGGGTTTTTCATATGTTGCCTTTGGCACTGTCCACCTCCTCTGCACAGTCTCCCCCACACCAGCTTTGCCTCTCCCTCAGGCAGATAATCATCCATGAAGAGTCCACTAGGCACCTTAGCTAGGAGCAGAAGCCCCTCTTAAAAACTTCGGACTCCTTTGGGGGCAAGCTTAGTTCCTCCCTAATATATGTAGCTTGGTAAATGTTTTTGTATTGGGTTCTTTTACATGGAATGCTTCTGGGGTGATGGTGACTGTTATTGGTTGAAATGCACGCTCCCCACCCAATTTGTGTGTTTCAGTTCTATATCCCAATACCTCAGAATGTGACCTTATTTGGAAAGAGGGTTGTTGCAGATGTAATTGGTCAAGATGAGGTCATACTGGAATAGAGTGGGTTCCTAATCCAATATTACTGATGGTCTTATAAAAAGGGGAAATTTGGACACAGAGTTATGCACACAGGAAGAACACCATGTGAAGACTGGAGTTATGTTGCCACAAGCCAAGGGAACTACCAAGAGTTAGGAGAGGCCCCTGGAATAGATCCTTCCCTGGAGTCGTCAGAGAGAGCATGGCTCTACCAATACCTTGATTTCAGACTCCTAGCCCCTGGAACAGCAAGACAATACATTTCTGTTGTTCAAAGTTACCCAGGACGAGGTACTTTGTTACAGCAGCCCTAGGAAACTAGCTCAGTAACTTTTCAAGATATTTTAACAAATAGCAAAGATTGCCAAGATGGTATCTGAGGTTGTAGCATGGGTTCAGAAACTGTTCATTGGTATAAAATGTTTTGTTTTTTGGTTTGTTTTTGTTTTGCATGCAGTAGACATTATGCGTTATCTTACTTCTCTCACCTGTCATGGCCGATGAGGAAGTATTCCCTGTTAGTGGTTCTGATGGACATGACCTCATCAGGGTGGCATTTAAACATCTTCTGCACAGATTGCATCTTTTCCTGGTTACTTATGCCAACTTCTACACTGGAATTTCTGTTAGATATTGACACAAAGTATTAAACCAAGGTAAATACAGAAATAGAAAACTGACTAATATTTTATATTGGGATTCAAATGGAATAAAACTTTAGATGTGCTGGATCCATGTTTTGAAGATTGTCCAATAATTTTAGAAGATAAGTTTGGATTTTTGATCTGGTTAATTAATAATTGAAATTATTTGGTTTAGCCTAAGATTCAAAAATTTCTATTTTAATTGGATTCTTGATTCCACAAATTATCTTTTTTAATTTTTGGGTGCACAATTTATTAAAGAGAAGACCAAAAAAAGCTGATCTAAATATTTTTAAAAACTCTGGCTTAACTTTATAAAATGAAAATTTCATCCGCTCCCTCTCATCCACAAATTACGTGACTCAAACTCCCTAACGGAATGCCTGTTAATTAAAGACTTATCAAGTATGACATACAATATGAAACAAATATTCAACTATCTTTTACTTAAAGTGCTCACTATTTTAGCTCCTATTCAGTCAAAAATACTATAATAAGCTTGAAGCCTTTGGTTCCTTTGGTCAATTATGTAAATTTCAATTTGCATGCAACTTGTTACTGTTTGACTTTATAGTATTTGTTGTTATAAAAGTTTTCTTGCTTGGATACACACTGATCAATTTCAATGGACCCTCGGTGATGATGGTCTTTGTAATAAGAAAGACTAAAGCTCTTTTCCCCAGTCCTTGACAGGATGAAAAACCGCTTTTTCCAAGAGGTCTGAAAAATAGAAAGATTTTATGTCTTAGTTAAATCTCAGCGGAAAAGAAAGGATTTTTAAAAATGCTCATGAGGCTGGTGGGAGGCTTGTTAAATCATAGCAAATACTTACCACAGAGAAGAACAGCTGAGAAGGTGGTGATTTAATAAAGTAATCTTGTTTGCAGACTTCATTTTCATAAGAAAATGTAAATTGTTTGCCTAATGAAAGTGAACAGAACTCAGTTTGTTCCTCATACATTTCTGAAAAGAACTGCCTCAATTGGAAAACACTATTTATCTCTGGAAAGACCTTCAGATTATTCAGTAGTTATGGAAAAGAACACCTATAATAACCCAAGAAAACAAAGGACCAAATGTGTGATTCTTATTCCTCCACAGCCAAGACCTTCATTCAAACAACATTTGAAAGCATGTTAATTCAGCTCACACCTGTCTGGCTTTCTGTTTCTAGAGTACATCGTTGGCTCTCTACGTGTGAGTGAAGATTTGGCTCTTAGTTCCATTGCAGAAGCATGATAATTTTGCATTGCCCTTTGGCTTAGCAAACAAAATCAAAAGCACCTGCTGTTAAAAATGATGTGGCAAAAACTATTTGGGGAAGGGGGACAGGTAGAGCTCTGCAGAAGTTGGGAAAGGAGGGAAGGTAAACACAGCCACCTCCCCAGAATTACTGGATGCTATCCTCATAGCCCTAGCAGCTGTATTACCAAATCTTGAGTCTGTTTTCACTTAATAAAGAAGCTCTAATTTTTTAGTAAAGACTGCCCTTTCCAAAACTGAGGACAAACTAAACCTATAGCCTGGATGTGAAAGCAAATCCAAGCTAAAACAAAAACAAATCCAAAACAAAAAAAACAAAAATAACAACATCGTGTTTAACAACATTAATTGTGTTTTTCTAAATAGTGAATGTAATACATATTTATTGTAGACATTTTAGAAAATATAGAAAATATTAAAACTGCCTATAATTTCATCACTCACAGAGAAGCAGTGAACATTGTAGAAACTTCTTTATTTAATCACTTCTGCCACACCATTTTCAATAGTGAGTTGTTTTGCTTTTGTCTGCTAAGCCAAAGGGCAATATATACTGTCTCCCTAAGTATTCAAGAGTGTTGATTAACACATGTGGGTGCTGAAACTACCTGAGGCCAGAGAAAGAACCATTAAAAAAATCAGAGGCTCAGAAAAAGTGCCTGTTACCTCCAGCCAGACTGGAAAAACTTATAATTTACAGGGCATTGGATAGAGTACTCAGGAATGTCTTGCCTCAGTGTGAGGAATAATTAGCTGTATACTAATTACTAGCTCTACACTGAGCACTGCTCCAAACCCACGTAACAAATCATAAAAGACTTAGAAGAAAGTTGTTTCCAAAAAATTTAACTGCATCCCAGAACAAAGCTCAAGATTCATAGGAATACAAAGATATTCAAGACCCAACAAGGTAAAATTTGCCATGTTTGGCAGTCAATCAAAGTTTACCAGGCATACAAAGAGGAAGGAAAACATGATCAATAATGAGGGAAAAGTCAATCAATAAAAACAGGCCTAGAACTGACACAGATGTTAGAATTGGCAGAGAAAGTAATTAAAGCAGTTATTATCAGTGTTTTCAAGAAGTTAGGGAGAGATATAAAAGATATAAAGAAGACCCAAAGTGAAATTTTAAAGATGAAAGCTACAATGTCTCAAAAAAACAGCAACAACACTGGATGGGAGTAAGAGCAGATTAAATATTGGACAAGAAAAGATTAGTGCACTTAAAGGCATGGCAATTGTAACTAACAACATAAGCAAAGAGTTAGAACATAATGTAAAAACTCGAAAAGAGCACCAGTACACTGTGGACAATTTCAAGTAGCCTAGTATACAAGTAATAGGCGTCCCTGAAGTGACAGAGGAAGAAATAAAAAATATCTGAAGCAATAATGCTAACAATTTTATAAACCTAAAACTATAATCCCAGAGATCCAAGCAGTTCAATGAAGCTCAGCACAAGATACACAAAGAAAAGTACATCAAGGCATGTCATAACTGAATTGTTCAAAACCAGCAATAAAGAAAAAAAATCTTAAAAGCAGCCGGAGGAAGAAAAGACCTATTATATACAGAACAAAGACAAGAAATAGAGATACTGATTTCTCATCAAAAAAAAAAAAAATGCAAACAAGAAGAAGTAAAACAATATATTTAAGGGTTGCGTGTGGCGGCTTACGACTGTAATCCCAGTACTTAGGGAGGCTGAGGCAGTGGATTTCCTGAGATCAGGAGTTTGAGACCAGCCTGGCCAACATGGCAAAACCGTGTCTCTACAAAAATACAAAAATTAGCCAGGCGTAGTGGTGCAAGCCTGTAGTCCCAGCTACCTGGGAGGCTGAGGCAGGAGAATGGCTTGAACCTGGGAGGCAGAGGTTGCAGTGAGCCGAGATAGCGCCACTGCGCTCCAGCCTGGGCGATAGAGTGAGACTCCATCTCAAAACAAACAAACGAACAAACAAACTATATTTAAAGTACTGAAAAAATACTCTTTAAAAATTCTATATTCAGCAAAACTATCTTTTAAAAATGAAGGCAATTTAAAGACTTTTTAGATATATAAAAGCTGAAATAATTCATCATTAGGAGGCTTGCAGTATAAAAATATCAAGGGAAGTCCTTCAGGAAGAAGGGAAATGATAACATAAAAATCTGAATTTAAACAAAGCAATAAAGAGCACTGAAATGGTAACTACTGAGGTAAATGTATGAAATTATTTTCTTGTTATTGAAAACACTGAAACATCAACTGACTGTTTAAACAAAAATAATGCCAATGTATTGTGCAGATTATAGCATATGTACAAGTAAAATACATTCCAACAGTAGCATAAAGGCCAATAGGGAAAAATGGAAATACATTTTTGTAAAGTTCTTTTATTATATGTGAATTGGTATACTATCACTTGAAGTTAGACTGTGATGTGTGTAAACCCTCAAGCAATCAGTAAAATAACAAAACAGAAAGTAATGACTAATAAGCCAACAAAGGAGATAAAATGGATTCATAAAAAATTTGATTATTCCAAAAGAAGGCAGAAAAAGGGAAAGGGAGAATAAATAACCAATAGGACAAATAGAAAATAAATAATAATATGATACACTTACACTGGACTATATCAATAATCATGTTAAATGTAAATGGTCTAAACACCTCGATTAAAAAACAGAGATGACCAGATTGGATAAAAAAGCAAGACTCAACTCTATGGTGCCTGTAAGAAACACACTTTAAAGACGAAAATACAAGTAGGTTACAAGGAAATAACTGGAAAAAAGATATGCTATGCCAACGCTAGTCAAAGAAAGCTGGAGTGCCTGTATTAACATCAACGTAGATTTTAAAGAAAATAATATTACCAAGGACAAAGAATATCATTTCATAATAATTAAAGGATGAATTAATCCTAAGAGGACATAAAAATTTAAACATATATGCCCCTATAACAGAGCTTTAAAATACATGAAGCAAAAACTGATAGAACAGCATGAATAAATGGACACATACACAATTATAGTCAGAAATTTCAATATCCCTCTCTCAAGAAATGATAGAACAAATAGTTCTAAAATAGATATTTTAAATTTTGGATGCATTTTTAATGTTTTAAATAATAAGCTTACTAAGAGATTTCAATCAAGAAGAGTGAGGCAGGCCTCATAGAATGAGTTGAGATATATTCCCTTCTCTTCTATTTTGTAGAAAATCAGCAAGAATACAGTAGGCTTGAACAACACTACCAACCAACTTTACCTGATTGATATTTATAGAACACTCCACTCAATGACAACAGATTATACATTCTTCTCAAGGGCACATGCAACATTTATTAATATAAATTATATTCTGGACCATAAAACAAGTCTCAATAAATTAAAAAGCACTCAAATCATATAAATCATGTCTTCAGAGCACCAGGAAATCAAATTATAAATCAATAACAGAAAGACCTCTTAAAAGATCCTGAAATAAATAATCTCTAGATTTAAAAAATCCCAAAAATAAATTAGCAAGTTTTTTGTACTGGATGACAATTAAAACACAAGATATCAGAATTTGTGGATGCCACTAAAGCAGTACTTAGGGAAAAAACTTTTTAATGCCTATGTTAGAAATGGCTATGTTTGAAAAGAACAAAAGTCTCAAATTAATTACCTCAGCTTCCACCTGAAACTGAACATGAAACTGAAAAAAAAAAAAAAAAATCTAAAGTAAGTAGAGGAAGCGAGATAATAAAGATAAAGTGGAATCAGAAAGGAGACATAGAAAAACAACAGAGACAACCAATGAAACCAAAGTTAATCCATTAAAAGGATTAAATTAACCAACTATACCTAGGCAGATAGACCAGAAAAACTGGAAAGAAAACACAATTTGCCAATATTAGGAGGAGAGAGGGGACATATCTACAGTCTACTGATATTAAAAGGATAATAAAGAAATGTTATGGACAACTTTATTCCAATAAATTTGGAAACTTAGATAAACTGAAAAATTCCTTGAAATACACCAACAAAGGTCACTGAAGAAGAAATAGATGACCTGAATAGCCTCCTATAGCTATTAAAGAAATTGGAATTGTAGTTAAAAATTCTTCACAAAAGGAAAACTTTAGGCCCAAGTGGCTGTACTGTTCACTTTGATCAAACATGTAAGCAAAAAATCATCAATTCTACACAAAGGCTCCAAAAAAAATAGAAGAGAAGGGGATATTTCTCAACTCATTCTATGAGGCTGGCATTACTCTTCTTAATTGAAAACTCTTAGCAAACTTATTGTTTAAAACATTAAAAAATGCATCCAAAATAAGTAAAAATAAATAAAACATCCAAATTGAAAAGAATGAAGTAAAATCATTTCTATTTGCAAGTGACATAATCTCATACGTTAAAAATCCCAAAGAATCCATAAAAACTACTAGAGCTAATAAACAAATTCAGCAGTATTGAAGAACAGCAGACAAAAGTTAGCTATATTTCTATGAACCAGCAATAAAGAATCCAAAAATAAAATTATGAAAACAGTTCCATTTACAATAGCATCCAAAAGAATAAAGTACCTAGGGATAAATTTAGGCAGATAAAAACACTGGTACACTGCAAACTAGAAAAATTGCTGAAATAAATTAAAGAAGACATAAATTTATGGGAAAACATTCCATATTTATGAATTGGAAGACTTAATTCTGTTAAGATATAAATACTACCTAAAGCAGTCTATAAATTCAATGCAATCTCTATTAAAATCCCAATGGCATTTTTTTTCTTGTAAAACTGGAAAAGCTAATCCTCAAAATCATCCAAAATACCAAGGGACCCTGAATATCCAAAATAATCTTGAAAAAGAACAAAGAGTACACACACTTCCCAATTTCAAAACTTACTACAAAGCTACAATAATCAAGAGTGTGGTTTTGCTATAAGGACAGATAAGATACATAGGCCAATGGAATAGAATTGAGAGTCCAGAAACAGAGCCATACATTAGTGGTCACAGCCATCCAATGGGGAGAGAACAGTCTTTTCAATAAATGGTGCTGGGCCAACTGAGTATTCATATGCAAAAGAATGAAGTTGGACCCCTATGTCATCCCAAATAATAAAGTTAACTCAAAATAAATAAATGACCTTAACATGAGAGCTAAAACCATAAAACTTTTAGTAGAAAACATAGGTGTAAGTTTTTATGATCTTGGATTTGACAATGTATTCTTATATATGATACCAAAAGCACAAGCAACAAACAAAAAATAGATAAACTAGACTTCATCAAAATTAAAAACTTTTGTGCATCAAAGGATATTATTAAGAAAGTGAAAAGACTACCTACAGAATAAGATATCAAAAGTCATATGTCTGACCAGGGCCTACTATCCAGAATATATACAGAACTCTTACAATGCAATACGAAAGACAAACAACTCAACTAAAAAGTGAACAAAGACCTTGAACAGACATTCTTCTAAAGAAAATAAGCAAATGGCCAATAAGCACAAGGAAAGCTGTGCAACACATTTAGTCATTAAGGAAATGTAGATCAAAATTACAATAAGAAACCACTTCATGCTCACTAGGATGGGCATAACTTTTTTTTTTTTTTTTTTTTTTTTTTGAGATGGAGTCTCACTCTGTGGCCCAGGTTGCAGTGGCTCAACCTTGGCTCACTGCAACCTCCGCCTCCCAGGTTCAAGCAACTCTCCTGTCTCAGCCTCCCGAGTAGCTGGGATTACAGGTGCCTGCCACCATGCCTGGCTAATTTTTGTATTTTTAGTATAAATGGGGTTTTGCCATATTGGCCAGGCTGGTCTCGAACTCCTGACCTCAAGTGACCCACCACCTCAGCCTCCCAAAGTGCTGAGATTACAGGTGTGAGCCACTGTGCCTGGTGTAATTTTTTTAAAAAGTAAAATGACATGGAAAATAAAATGGTAAGGATGTGGAAAAACTGGAACCCTCATACACTGGTGATGGAATGTAAAATGTTTCAGCCACTGCAGAAAATAGTTTGGTGATTTCTACAAAAGTTAAACAGGGGCTTACTATATGATCCCTCAGTTCTACTCTTAGGCATATACCCAAAAGAATTGAAACAGGTACTCAAACACATACGTGTTCACACGTGTTCAAGTAGCACTTTTCACAATAGCTAAACATGGAAACAGTGCAAATGTCCATCAATTAATAAATGGATCAACAAATTGTGGCATACATGAACAACGGGATGTTTGTCAGCT